GTTTTACTTCTGTGGCAAAAGTAAATTTATTTTAGGAAGTAAAAGTGGAATTTCATGGATCCCTAGGTTTTAAAATTCAGGGTTTACTCTTCAGAGTAAATCTTTGACAGAAATTGAACGAAAGAAAATGCTTGGTGCAGGTGGCTCGAGCCTATGCTCCCGGCTACTTTTGGAGTCTGAGGTGGGAGGACAACAGAGCGAGATCTGTCTCAAAAGAAAAAACCAAAAACAAAACCTCAATCCTAATTAAAGGATACATATTTTGAATGGTTATTAATATGCATTTTTAGTTTTAATTAATATTTAAATTTCCATGGTGCAAAGGCAATACAGTATATTGCTAATGTGCAGGGTTTTCTTTTGGAAACATTCAAGCAGTTTGTATTCATTGTCCAGAAACAATTTAGCTCTAGTAGGAATAAACAATTGCTAACATTGTTGTGTTTTTTACCTCTGGTTTTGATAGGGTTTTCACAACATGGTATGATTGGTGTGACTCAGCCCCGAAAAGTAGCTGCCATATCAGTTGCTCAGAGAGTGGCCGAAGAAATGAAATGCACTTTGGGATCCAAAGTAGGATACCAAGTTCGTTTTGATGATTGCAGCTCTAAGGTACAAAAGTTTTGTTGGTATTCATTTAAGTTCATTTAAGTGCATTAGCATTCATTTAAGTGCAATAACTTAACAGAAAGAGTGGAGGAAGTTCTAAAAGTTTTTTAACTTTAAAATTCCTTATATATTTTAAAGAAACAAAGCCTTAGAATTTATTTTTGTTGTCCATTGTTAGTACTTTAGCTCATCCCATTTTCTCTCTCCTTAATTAGTTTATAAGTGACAGTTATATTTGTTTTTCTTAAGATTCTCTTATGTTTTTTAGCTGTAAGAATCCTTGACATGTAGGTTACATTTGTATTTTTAAAAAATTTTTATTGTAGTAAAATATACATAATGAAATTGACCATTTTAACCATTTTTAGGTGTACAATTCAGTGACATTAAGTACATACACAGTATTGTGTAACATTGTATGTTTTCAGAAGTTTTCATTACCCCAAACAGAAACTCAATCTTTTAAGCAGTAGATTAAACTTCTCATTTCCCCTCCCCTCAGCCTCTGGTAATCTCTAGTCTACTTTCTGTCTCTACAAATTTGCCTGTTCTAGGTACTATTTTGTACTTTTGTCTTGCTTATTTCACTTAGCGTGTTTTCAAGGTTCATCCCTGTTGTGTCTTTGTACTATTGAAGTCAATGGAAAATTGACAACTTAATTAACAAAGTTAGTTATTAAGTATTAAGCATCTTCTATATGCACAGCACCAACAAATTTAAAATTGTTTTCCTTTTAATAGTGAATAGTTACAGGATTTCTTAATCCGGTGCCAAATAAAAAACAATCCCTGGTTTACGTATGTTCTCTAATAGAAATGGCCATAGCATGCTGCTCAAAATAACTCCCCGGAATACTGTCTTTGCCTTTCTAGTGGTCTCTACTGGGATTTTCTCTCTCTTTTATTGCTCTCAATTATTGCTGTTACTCCTAGTCTTTGGGTGTTTTTCTTACCTTGTTTTAATGCTAGTTGAGTGACACTTTTTTTAATAGGACAATGGGTAGGGAAGAGGAGAGATTGAGTGGGAAGTACCATTTCCTTTAGCTTTTTCTCTGGAGTCCTCTAAAACACTGGCTGAGACAAGGAGATATTGTTTCCCACAGCTTGCTCACCT